GTTACAAAGCAGTACTGACATGGTTTTAAGTCAGAACCAGGACATTTTTTTTTCCAAAACGTCTTACTTTGTACATTTTTGTTTTTGGGTAGATTTCCAGAATACAGTGTAGTGCACCATCAACCCCTAATATCCAGTTTCCCCCCTTTTATTTCCTCTTAAGTAGCTTTACAGGGACAGTGTTTGGTTTGTCTTCTCCACTATCACATAAAAAGACCACTGCTTGTTAAAGGTAATGTGTCCAATTGTCTTATAAAACATACAAACAGAAAAACATAGTATTTATGAATACTATGATTAGATATAAGTAATGTCGGTGATTTTCAAAAAGAGGCATCTGGAGCAACATTTTCCGTTAAAGCGGGTTCATGTTTAAATCGGAACATATGCATGAGCAGCTTTTGCTTTACTAAACATATTTTCGTAACTAAAGCAGGCAGGTGTGTAATATAAAGGTTGGAGCTCTGCCTCTGACGAGAGCAAGCCGTTCCATCCACATTGAAATTCCTTGGTGATGTCCACTCTGCACCATCAGCCTCTCTGGCTAAGCCTCAGGAATACCAACCAGCTGTCAGCCCCTCTCTCTCTCACTCTCTCTCCCTCTTACCATCTATCACGCTATCTCTCTCTCTCTCTCTCTCTCTCTCTCTCTCTCTCTTTCTGTATGCTCTCTCTTGTTGACTGAAGACAAGTGCTGCATCACCATTTTAATTCGGGCGTGGGCGTGCAGGTTTTGTTTTATTTTTTTAATTCTTGCCAAATATGCATGGAGCAAGCAGTGAGGAGCCGGCACAGAGTGAAGGATCAGGGTTATGAATCTTAATGACTTCTACCAGAAGAAAGTGGGGAGAGTATGTCTGGGGAGAATCTGCCCTTAATCTCCCCCTCTGGTTTCCTCTCTGTCTCACATATGGACCCGTGCATGCAGCTCGTCTGTGTTTACAGGATTTGTCTCCCTTTGATTCAGTTTAATTAGTTGATGACGGACAATGAGCTGAATGCTGCCGTGTTAAAGACAGAGAGAACAAGACAGAGGAATCAGACTCCTATTGCTGCAGAGCTTTACACGCAGTGTTGCCGTCACTCCAAAGTAGCATGAACCATGTTGGTATGTCCACTTGCGTAGGATGCATATAATATTTAGAGGTAGAAACATTTATGTGACTATTAAACTCTTCAGTATCATTCAAACAGTCAAGTGCTACAAGGAACAGACCTATGACAAGTAAGGGGCTCCACCCTGGGTACAATTATTTTACACTAAATAACCATGTCCACTTCTGTACTTTTGGTTTGTGCCTGTTTTTCATGGTTTAGGAGAGGTCCTTCTTGATTGCCATGGACACCAGTGATGTACTTTATAAACTTTATAAAGCTATATCGAATGTGTTGGTAATAATCTGCTTGTTTTGGGTCTCTGCAGCCAATCGGCAAAAAAACTAACTAACTAACTAACTAAAAAACAATGAATGCTGATTTCAACATCTCCTGCCTTTTCTTTTTGCACCTGCCCACCAATTGTCACTACAGAGCCCCCACCTCATCTGTGTCAGTCACCTGTCTGCACAGCTGCTCATCAGACCCAGTATGTATTGAGGACAGCTAGCGCTTGCTTTCGCCCTAATAGTCTGCTGCTGCTACCTTTTGCTCAGTTCTGCCTGTCTGGTCTTGTTATGCCTTAATGCCAGCATGTTCAACCCTTATTGAAAAGACTGTCTCCTCTGTACCGACCGTAAGTGTGCCATGTGACCAAGAAAAACAGTTTTTACCTCACCTTTCCTGCCTTTTTATTCTGCATATGAGTTCATGTCATGAACTAGACTGTGTACATTTAACCTGTAACTAATCTGAACCATCTGGGGTGGTTGGCCATCACAGAATGTAATAATGGTCCATAATTAGATTTCATTTATTCACTAATTGTCTGTTACTAGTCATTTGTATTCTGTATTTTGGGGGACTTTCAGAATAAAAGTCGATAATCATGACACAATCTAACACATTTGCCTGCAAATTGAAGGCACACCTGGACACTGGTGAACTGCTCGTTCATCCTTTCACAGGTCAAAACCGCCTTGAGGCGACATATGAATGATTGAATGAACGACTGAATACATTTTCTATTTTTGGGTAATACAACTGAAATGAACTATCCAACATGGGATTACATGACACATGATTATACCACATAAACAAAGACTCATTGCTGCATACTTTGTATGTTACAAATTAAACAAAAAATAGGCTATGAGTTACACGTTTTACACAAACAACAGAACAAAGACAATATGAAGGACACCTATTAAACACATGTTTTTAATAGTGGCTATGCATTGGATTTCAAAAAATGTTCATGTCCAGATGATCTGCGAATGTGAGTTTTTTCATTAATTAAGTCTCCCAGGAAAACAGTGGAGCAATCATCAAAAACCAAAATAATGTCCAGTTTCATGATGAACAACACCTGATTTGGGAACAACTAACTAAATTACATTTCACTCATGAACCGTTGTGAATACTAAGAACAATATGTTGACCTCCTCTACTTCTTATTCTGTCAATTTCCCATAAAACAATGTTTTTATTTTTGCATTGCATATATTTTTAACTGGTGTTAGATCATCAAGCTTAAGCTCTTGTGTTAGCACCCTGCTGAAGTGTTACTGTACATATTTATGGAGAGCATAATAGAGAGTATATACTGCCTACATAAACTGTGACATACTGCATACTTATGAGGATGAAGTAGTGTTTGAGGCGGTCTTACGTGATGTATTTGTGGGCTGAGTGCTTAGCTTACCTGAGACTATTCACATAGAAAACTATTTTCTCCTGCGACCACTTCACTTTGATATCCTCTCTGTCATATTCAGCACTTGAAATGAGTCCTTATGTGGCAATACAAAGTTCTTCTCTCTGTCTCTTCCAAATTCTCTGGAGACATCAAGCCTTACTTTTACTCTTTCAGTTGCCATGGATACCTACGCAAGGCAGCTAATTCGAGGCAACAATAAACTCCGCGCTTCCAAGTCTTTGACAAATTTGTCTCCAAACTGACAATCTAAGAGACTCCCTGTACCCTCGCTCACACGCTGACACAAACCAACCAACGTATCCACACATAATGATGACGATAGACTTGGACTGACGCACTTGACCGTTGGATGACAGCGGAACCGTGATCAATGTAATCTCCTTCAGCACAATCCAAAGCCACTGTCATCATCTATCTATGTATCCCAGTGGAACAGTGTGTGTGTGTATGTGTGAAATCAATTCTGCATTCATTTAAGGAGCAGCCAGCCTCATCAGTCGGGCCCCAGAGGTGACCCCGAGTGCTCCTGCGCGGTCCTTAGTGAAGCTCTGGTTGATAGGGTATCCACTAACTATGCTGTACTTTACCTAAACAAAGTGCAGGAGTAGAACTCTCAGATCTGTATGTAATTAAAGGACCAGTGCCGCAGCCATCAATCCTGAGTTTGCCCATCAAGCTTCTGTGTGATAAAGTTAGAGTTACTGAACTTAACAGCTGTGTTGAGGATTTACTTTGCTTTGAGTGCTTCCCTTTCTTTTCCAGCTAACACACACACACACACACACACACACACACATACGCCGTTACGCTCATTAATACGCGGCCTCCATTGTGTGTCTTATTCCTCCTTTAAATAATCGTGCCATTGTTAAGTCTCGTGCCAACTTTCTCTTTTTCTCTCTAAATATTAATAATTACATTTTCAAACATAACCAAAACCCGCTCCTACCAGATCCCAACAACAATAATTTTGCATCAGAGGAGTTCATTAATGTGTCTGAGTTTTTTAATTTGGTGGTCTTCATATTTAGGGTTTTCCTACTCATTATTTCAATAAGGCTGTTAACTGATGCAGTCATGCTACGTGTATCTCAGAAAAACAGCAATACAAGAGAAATTCACTTCCTCCTTCAGCATAATGTTGGAAATAGTGACAAACTCCAACATGAACACGGCTCCACTCAATTAATTTCAAAACATCTGCTGAAAAACAGTGCTTCACTACATCCTCAGGGTAGGCTTAACAACGAGGGGGCCCCAGTGCAAAAATGAGCTGTGGAGTTCAGTAGTATTTTGTGATCATTTAATTACGTTTAACTGTATTTATGAAAATACAGGATGTAAAGACGATATTAACTGAAATATTACTGGTATTCTACATTTTGACACAGCCACGGCCTCTCTGCAAGACAAGGCCTCAGGTAAAAACTGCAGGAGCCACTTTAAAGGTCTAATGCGTAGGACCTGGTGGCATCAAACGGTGAGTTTGAAGATTGCCCTTATCTAGAGGCAGCGTTTGGTTTGTCCACTAACAAAAACACTACAATTCTTTTTTTCAAGTGATTATACACTTTTATTATATATATCCCCTAAATGGTACACACTGTACCTTTAAGGCCCTTACGGTTTATATTGTGTGTTAGTGGTGCATAATACCAAACAAATTTGCAATACATCAACTTTCTACAAACGTATTGCCAAAAAGTGATTCTAGGGTCTTGGGGCCTTAAGGGTCTGGGGCCCCGTGGCACATGTTTTCTGGTTGGTAATCCAGCCTTAATATCTATTTTGTCAAACAGGTGGGCTGCCTGGCCCCTGGTTTGGATTATAAATAAAAAAGACCTGCATCATCTTCGTTAACAGTTTATGTGTGTGGTCTGTGTGTGTGTGTGTGTGTGCGTGTGTACAGGCAGGCATAAACAGTATTTTTGGAGGGTGAGTCTATGCAGACCGCTTTGGCGCCACCTACAGGCTATTCAGGAACGTTTTTTCTTGAGTTTCAGCCTCCAATCTCTTATCAAAAACGTTTAAATAAATGTATTTATTTATTTATTAGTGTTATTTGTTAAATTTTGTTTGAACTGGAGTGTCAGTCATACCTGTTACTTTTTGTAAGTCGGATAGGAACATTCAACAAACTGGGAAATATTATCGTGTGCACTTGCGTTCTACCCGGACATGTTAGCCGTTGCACAGGTGCCCAGAATCGGTTTCGGCACGCCATTGTGGAAAATAGTTACTTTCACATTACTGACTCCTCGCTGAGAGCTTACCTTCCTAGCTGAGTCGTCCCGGGTAAAATAACGAAAGAAGAAACTGTTCCACAATGGCTACGGAGTCCTGGGCACAATCAGTGGACGCGCAAGAAGCCGCGGCGGAATCGGTAAACCGTAACTTACGCAACACGAGCTAACGTGTTGTTAGCATGTTTAGAAGATGCGTTGGCCTGTTGTGGCTCAGTGTAAACGAAACTTTAACTGCTCAGCGTTTCTTCCTACATTAGAAACTTTCCAACGACAGCGCTGCCTGTGAATAAATTGGCTTTAGTGAAAGTCTGTTTCAGTAACTTATCAACTTAATAATCTAAACTACCGGTTGGCGTCTGTTTGTCGTGAAAGCTAAGTTAACTAGCTCAAGCTGAGTTGCTGCGTGCTCAGTGAGTTACTAGCTTTAGCCGTTAGCAGATTAGCAAGCAAATGATGTAACATGCTCTAAAATAGGACTAACGCTACTAATGAAGACGTAACGTTAGTCATGGCTTAACGTTAGTGTATCTCATGTGTTACCCTGTCCTGACTCGTATAATTTTGATCATTATTTTACGAGAGAAACAACTCTTTAAATTTACTCATGTTCCCCCTTACAGATCGGTAGCCTCCAAATAAAGGATAAACCAGAGGAAAATGGTAAGTGTGCGTGCAGCATTAAGTGTGAGATGCAATAGTAAGAACTGTAATCGCTTAAAATGTTTGGGTTGTACATTTAAGCACAATATTCACTATTATAGGCACGGTTGCAAATGCTACAGAGTCCAGCAGTGCCCCTGCAAAGACAGAAGTTAAGGTAGAAAACAAGGGAACAGATGAAGAGGAAAACGACAAAGGTGAACACTTTATTATTTAGATGCTCCAAATTTGTAATGCTTTATTGTATTTTTCGTTGAGATATTGTTGAATCGTTGCAGTCGTGACAACATAACTTGTTTTTTTCCAGATGACAAAGCGGCACAGTCATTACTAAACAAGCTGATCCGGAATAATCTCGTCAATAACACGAATCAAGTGGAAGTTCTTCAGAAGGATCCCAACTCTCCGCTCTACTCTGTCAAGTCCTTCGAGGAGTTGCGACTGTAAGTGAATCTTCTGTTCGTCAGTTCACCTCTCTTGTTGCTCTACAATATTTTGGAGCATCAGATATTAATAATGAATCGGTTGTCAATCAGGCTTACTAATATTTATGACACATGTAGCCAGAAAGGATGCTTTGGAGCCAAAATATTACCAACAAGACCCAGATGTAAACCAAACCTGCTCCAGGGGTGTACCCTCTGTTTGTCCTTTTATTGGTCGATCTATTAAGGCGTGTGCGCATCCGCACGGACATTTGCAATCAAAGCTGCTTAAAGATTCTTTCAAAAAAGATCTGCCTTCAGACTTTGCCGAAGATGTGACATCTACCTATTTTCTCCCGTGTGCAGCAAACCACAGCTGCTTGAGGGCGTGTACGGCATGGGTTTCAACAGACCATCCAAAATCCAGGAGACTGCCTTACCTATGATGCTGGCCGAACCGTGAGTATACTTTGCACTGTACATGCATGTTGTGGAGTCCTCCAGCAAGGCATTGTGTCTCTCAAGGCTCACTGAAATTGAGTTTAGAAACAGTTTAGTTACTATACAACTAATTCATCACACCTCTTTTAACTCGCTTTACAATTTAAAGGTATTTTGCCTCTTTTCCTTGAGAGCTAATTCTTTGTTTCTTCCTAAAGTCCACAGAATCTGATTGCTCAGTCGCAGTCGGGAACAGGGAAAACAGCTGCCTTTGTCCTGGCCATGCTCAGTCATGTAGATCCCAACAAAAGATATCCCCAGGTTAGTCCCCCCCCTCCCTCCACTTCTAGAAGATCTCTCATTGAAATCTTGTGTTTTAAAAGGCTGTTTCTTCCTCTCATAATAATTATGAACCTTTTTATTTCTCCATCAGTGCCTGTGTGTGTCACCCACCTATGAACTGGCACTTCAGACTGGCAAGGTAATCGAGCAGATGGGCAAACAATATCCCGAGGTCTCACTAGTCTACGCCATCAGAGGAAATAAATGTAAGGCTTCCCCGCTCGCTACAATGCTACAGCTGCACGATTATATAATTACATTTTGTCAAGTGTTTGAATCGTTCCCGCTGATGAAAACATTACTGCTGAGAGTCGGTTCTCTGTGTTGATGAGTTCTTGTTTCTTGTGAATGTTGCAGTGGAGCGGGGCGTGAAGCTGCAGGAGCAGATAGTTATCGGCACACCTGGTACCATGCTGGACTGGTGCGGCAAATTCAAGTTCATAGACCCCAAGAAGATCATGGTGTTTGTGCTCGACGAGGCCGACGTCATGATCGCCACACAGGGCCACCAGGACCAGAGCATCCGCATCCAGAGGTCAGAATAAACACCAAATGAAAAGTACCCGCATGTGAAAATCGTTCCACAACTACCTTCCTTTCACTCTTATCTTCTCTGCTCCACAGGATGCTGCCTAAAAACTGCCAGATGTTGCTGTTCTCAGCCACGTTTGAAGAGACGGTGTGGAACTTCGCCCAGCGCATCGTGCCTGACCCCAACATCATCAAGTTGAAGCGAGAGGAGGAGACGCTGGATACCATCAAACAGTACTACGTGTTGTGCAACAGCAGGGAGGAGAAGTTCCACGCCCTCTGTAACCTCTACGGAGCTATCACCATCGCCCAGGCCATGATCTTCTGCCACGTGAGTTCACTCGCTTCATATTCATTCAACTCACACGATCTGTACTAAAAACACGGAATCTCACATGCGCACCCCAAATTTTATAGGAATAAAGAAATATAAATTCCCTTACGTTTCTCCTCTGTGACCCTTTGAGGATGTCCAGCAAACCCGCTGTCCTCCAATGCAAAGCTTTTTATATGTGAGAACTATTAGTCAGCTTATTTTACCAATACTTTCAACACAAGGCTTCATCACACCCTAACTCTTCCTGTAAATCAGCTAGTGTTGCCAAGTCGTGTCCTCGCATTAGGTCTTGTATTACATGGATACTTGGATTGCTGGTGTAGTAGTGTGAGTACTTTCCTCTCTGTAATCCAGACGAGGAAGACTGCGGGCTGGCTTGCAGGGGAGCTGTCCAGAGAGGGCCACCAGGTGGCGCTGCTCAGTGGAGAGATGCAGGTGGAGCAGAGGGCTGCCGTCATCGACCGCTTCAGAGAAGGCAAGGAGAAGGTCCTGGTCACCACGAACGTTTGTGCCCGAGGTAAGGACCAATCAACAGTCATCAATGTCATCATACGACTTTCTATTACAATTATTATTGAATTATAAAAGGTAGAAATAGAACAACATCATGTGTACAAACTTAGATAATTGGCACAACAGTGAAAGTTTGAATACAAACACCTGATAATAAATATTCAATTAATGTCCTATTAATCAAATTTAATTGATGACAGTGGAATTTAAAATGCATAAATATGGGTATTTTACTGTTTAATATGCATAAACAGTAAAATACAGATATACAGTGCTGCCAATGGACAATGTTTCTCTTGTGATGTTTAATCTCTCTCTCCCCTTTTCCTACATTCAGGCATTGATGTGGAGCAGGTTTCTGTGGTCATCAACTTTGACTTGCCGGTAGACAAGGATGGTAACCCAGACAACGAGACGTACCTGCACCGGATTGGTCGCACGGGACGATTTGGCAAAAGGGGGCTGGCCATCAACATGGTGGACAGCAAGATGAGCATGAACATCCTCAACAGGATCCAGGAGCATTTCAGTAAGTGTGCAGCTGCGACACACAGACTCCTTCTTAAACACACAAACGGTGGGATCGAGTTTGTGAGGGACGTTCATACTTAAACATATAATAACTACTCAATTTAGGAAGACTGGCTTCCCTCTAAATGATACCCACCATGTTCTATGTGTTCTCCCTCTGCAGGTAAGAGAATTGAAAAACTAGACACAGATGATCTGGATGAAATTGAGAAAATCTCCGGCTAAAGAGAAAGGCATTTATCGCATGAAGGACGACCACTCGACCTACTTCCCTTCCCCTCTTGGCTCTCCAAGGACTGTACGCTCCTACAGTGTTTTACGCTTTTATTTTTTTTAGCCGTCAGAGAAAAGAGCAAAACCACAAACACATTATATGTTTACACTTGGATATGTCTCCTCTCAGACGAGTGTTTTGGAAGTCTCTGGAACATACCCCATCTCACTCTTTGTACTCCTTTGAATAAAGTCTATGAGTTTATTACTGTGTATCGTGATGCTGCCGAAGCAGCCATAGTTGACTCTGTTTTGCTGAACACACGTAGAGTTAAAACACTTTTTGGTGTTGGCTGTAGCGGTGGCATGCTACAAGCTATTCTCTAAAGAGATTCACAAAAAAAACCCTAAAACATTCTATGTGCCACAAAGTTCTTCATTTTAAAAGGAGCAACGTATAATTGAATGTAAGAGTAGTACATAGACGATGACTGCCAAACCTCAGTACAAAGGGTGAAGTCGGGTATGCTGCTCGGAGCAGTAGTTTAATCATTACGATTGTTATCGAGATGGTGGTGGTTGGGTTTCAAGGGTCTATGCAAAACTTATCAACCTGTGATAGCATTCTCAAATCCTATCAACCTGTATTTACATGTTGGAAATTAATCCTCAATAACCTCAGCTTTAGCATCAGGTTGTGTAGTCGGCCTAGAGGGATATTACACTACTAACTCCCAAGTCATGGACATTTAGATATTTGTTTTTAATTGGTAATCAATCCTCAGTTAACCGCACATCTCACACACGTTATTTATATCATTTTATAAACGATTATGGCTTTTATCAGGACGGGCTCGGCGCCACTGCTGAGCTCTAATCATTGGTCTTCTTTTCCCTTCATCTGTCTTGTAAAACCTCATTTTTAACTAAAAATGTGTCCGTTCAGGGCAGATGTGATCAGTTTCCCTTTGTGTCTCACTGTCCCACGCAATCTGTTCAATCAGGGTCTCCAGTTTGACTTGAGCTCAGCTACATTCTTCACCCAGACTGTGCTGTGTTAAAGGATTGTGAGTTTAAAAAAAAGTTACACAATGCCTTCCTCAAGTGCATTATATATATATATATAAATACACATGATTTTGTTTTTAAGATATTGGGCTTAATATTCTGACTAACACTTGAAATTTTGATTATATATGGAATTATGAGCGTCTTCAGGATGTATGAATTATCTTAAAACCAAATGCTGACTTGAGGACCTATGCCAATCAGATTCACTGTGTTGCTCCAACATGGTCACATGGATAGAAAACATGTACTTGTGTACATATTTACAAAAATAAATTAGGTCAAAGAAATATTGTGACTGAAATATTAAGTTTGTCACTTCTAAGAAGTGCTAAAAACATTCCTCGTGAGGTTCAATTTTGACAGACGCAGCACTTGGAATACAAGCCTAAATGGGTTAACCTTGCATCAGTGGACGACCGTACAGCATTATGGAAACGTTGGGATGTCTGGTGTATTTGATCAATGTGCGGGAACATTAAGGGCAGCGATTGGTCCGTCTGAACCTTGTGTGCAAACCTCATCCGGCTCCCACCGGCATGGAGAAGACTGCTGGTGGTGGTCCGGTTTAAATGGACTGTTTACGGACAACTTAGCCAAACGAGAAGCAAGTGAGAGTGTGCTGGAAATTCACGAGAAGACTTTCGGGTAAAGAACCAATGTATGCAGTTTTATTTGGACATTTGGATGTATACATTATCAGTGAGAGTGTGTGTGCGCGCACTTTGTTGATCCATCATGTAATAGCACTGTACGAGAGCCATGGACACGCAGAGCAGTTTTAGCTATAGAACGCAACACTCCACATGTTGTGTACCTTGTTTGATAATTGTCAGAACCAACCAAAACCCAGTACGTACATGTATACATAGGAGTAATACTGCCTAACTAGGCTTAAAGTGTAACCTGAAGGTCATGTGTAGACAATGATAGGTTCAAGGTGTGTGGTATTCTGTAGCTGAGCTGCGTTCATGGACACAGTCATGTATTCTTAATATGTTGAATTAAAAGAACATGTAGTCAAATGCTTATTTGTGTAAGTGGGGGGGGGTGGTATTTGTTCCAAACACCAACTGGGGTCACTGACTCAAAGTGAAGATGCCAAGTTCTGATGTAAGTGAAGAAAACAAATGTAAATATAAAACTTTATTACAACTGTTGTAGAAATACAGTGTATCAACATGACTGAATGACGCAGAATTAGTCCTCTGAATTTCCACTGGAGACAAATTGCTCCTCTGGTGTCTGTTGTGAAAGCTGCAGGTCTGAGGAGGCAAAGAAGAGGTTATACATCTGAAAACTTACCAAACATTAACGGACACTTGCCGCATATTGAGCCCCTTGAGCAAATATGTCGTTTTATAGTAGATAGATTAGTATTATACAGTACTGGGATGTGATTTTTAATATGGAATCAGATTCTGCCTCCTCACCTGTCTCTCTGTAGTCCACCCTGGTGAGGAAGAGGCCGTTGGCAGGAGCAGCCAGGCCTTGTGGGTAGGCAAGAGAGTCCCGAGCCTCCAATATCTGCTGCAGCTGGGGCACTGAGAGCTGCCCCCGGCCTACAGCCACGAGAGCCCCTGTCATCCTCCGCACCTGGAGCACAGGGCCAAAGCAACCTTTTGTTTTTACAATAATACTGAAAATATCACAAAATAACTGCTTGCCTTCATCTCAGACATTTTTATTACTCCGTTATGCTCGAGTAACTTCAATTATGAGCCATAGTCGGTCATCACCAGCAGATGGCGGTACTTACTAACAATTAACTGCAACACGGATATTGATTTTTAAATAATTGAGCACAATAAGAGGAACAAACCTGCTTATAGAGAAAGGATCTGCTTGTAAAAGTCAGCTCCCAGAATGGTATCTCTCTGGGAAAAACACACAAAAACAACTTACAATTTGCACAAATGTGTGAACATCATGTACAGTACACACACACACACACACACACATACAATTGTTACACATCACAGCTGTATATTTCTTGAGATGTCTGCATATTGGGCAAAAGGAGCACTGGCTTTAAGGCATATTCCCGACACTCCTCATGAAACGTTACGACGGCCAATCCAAACATTTCTTTAACAAATGTATTTCACACGATTTAAGTGAATCGACTGAAAAAAGCTCCTGTTTTATGTCTGTTGTGTGTTTAGACGTGTCTCTCCTTTATCTCTCTTTTGTTGGATGCGTCTATGCTTTCCCCCACTATGTGGACAGAGTTGGAGGCTGATGTGACATTCACGCTCATGCCAGACATCAGATAAGAGTCGAGACTCTTCTCGTGCACAGATTTGTTTAAATGTCACATGCTGAATACTGCAGCTTAGGCCCAACAGGATTATCTTTAATGCCATAAAAAATATGAATCTGCATCTTTTGCAATTTGACATTGAATTTTTGTTATCTCAACATTTAAGTCACAGCCATCCCCCACCCCCCCCCCAAAAAAACTGACAGACTTTATATTTTTGGGGAGGAAACAGTGAAGTGAGCAAACAGGCACATGGGAAGAATTGGGTCAAATGCAAATTTGACTCAGTGCTTGCTGTTTGATTACATTTGACTGGTAAGGAGTGCAGAGACAGATTCATACAGCATGGACTCTGGTGAGGGACAATATCTTTTTCGTGGAAAGGTAAAGGCTGTCTCATGTTGCACAATCACACATGTGCATCGGCTGTGTGTGTGTGTCTGTGTGTTCATGACGTGGTATGACAGGTCAGGATGAAAGCAAGGCCTCCAGTTTAGAACAAACTATTTTGATCTTACTCTTGTTTGACTGAAATAAAGCTGAAAGGATTAATTAAGTAGCTTATCAAAAGACAATTATCGAGTAACTAATTTGATATTTGATGGTTTAAAGGCATTTATCAAGTAACAAGACTGCTGTAGTCATGCTAGCAGGGCTGTGAGACAGTTCTTATGCACAGTGGGGCTTTGAGCTAAATGCTAACATGCTCATAATGGCAATGCTAACAAATAAATAGAAAGAAGGAAGCAGAAGAAAAAACCAATGAGGCTCTACTACGGTGATGCTTTGAGCCGTTTTCTTTAGTTAGCAGCAGATTAAATATACAATAAATCCCATCCAGAAGTGAACACACTCAGCTACACTACAGTTCATGTGGGAGAGCCTATGGCCAACAACCCAACGTTCAGAAATGGAGCACTGTTCACCAGTTTATGACAATGAGATGAGAAATATCCATCTGCCTCAATATCCTACAGCTCCTCATTTTAGGATCAAATATTTAGCTCAACCTTCTGCTTTTAAACAATTCACAACTCAGTTTCTTCTCCTCTTATCACTGTTACTTAGAATAGAAACCCTTATCAAAAAATAAATACTCTTTTCTCTACTTTTGTAGAGAATGAAAGAGAGAAAAGACTAGTTCGGTGAAAATGCAATGAAACAAAGGACACTTTGGTGCAAATACACCATGTTACAGGTATGTGATGCTCACAGCTTGTTAAGGCTCCACATGCGTTGAGGTTGAGGGACTATGTGACATTTACTCTGAGAACTGCTAACAGTCTGCCTGTGTCCATATTGTGCGCCATACTTTCAGGGCAAATAATGAATGCCCACGGAAGTGGTATTTGGCATGCAGAGTGACCCCCATGGACGTGTAATCTCCAAAAGCCCACATGGTCCTCTCTGTCTCCCAGCACCCCCCCTCTGCAATGGATTATGTTGAATCCTCATTGTCTAAAGTACCTGCATGACACACACACACACACACAGCACTTTCATAAAATGTGTAACAGCTAGACATCAGTTGTCCTTCAATAGTAAACAGTACTTCCTGTGATGCACTAAAGTAAATCAAGTTTTTTTTTTACTTTCCTTTTGAAAAAGATTAGTTTGGTTTCCAGATCACAGTCGACTTGACCTGTGATTCACCTCGTATGACATCAAACACGCCACTGAGTCTGACTGAAGCTTGAAAGGGAAATCATTTCAAGTGGAGTGACTGTAAATGATTCAAAACTTTGGCTTCCTAAGCATCAGTTGATGCAAGATTGAAAAATACCAGATTGATCTTTTTGGGGGGTGGAAAAGCACATGCATCATTTCTTTATGTACTTGGCTTTCTTCTCCTCCAATTTGGAATAATCCGTTCTTCTTTGTTACTGCAGATGTGAAGAGTGTATTTTGGACTTATAGTCATCAGGCTAATTTTGCTACGTTCGCTAACATGTCGAGTACAGGCAAAGATTATGTCAATGTTTTGTTTACAGCTTGTCATTCTGCCCCCAAGTGGCCCCCCAAAAAAAACGTCTTACAGGTGCTGACTGCCAGCAGCCAATGTGATCAGTCTACCTGAATACAAGCAGCCTACCTGTGGAAGTGTGCGTGTGCGAAGGAGCTTCCTGGCTGTACGCTGGCCACATTCAGCGTCTTCACAGGGCTTTTAAAATGAATGTCGGAGTTGACTGCCCTGAAGCTGCTGAAGTCCTGAGTCCCGAGCAGCAGTGCTGCAGCCTCACGCATGGCTTCCACATCCAGCGTCCTGATGAAAGACAGAAACAGGAGACACTTTTCTATCATAAGCCATCACAAAAAATGCTAGATTTTCTATGAGTGTCAAGAACACCCAGTTAATGTAAACAGACTTTTTCTCATTGTGCTATTGAAACTTGACCCGAAAGTGACCTGCATGACCAGCGAGGTCAAGCAGCTGGGATGTGATGTACACATTAAGTACAGGTGCAGCCACGATGCAAAAACTATTTGCCTTCACACCTGTATTTTCACCATGGTCAGCACCTTTCTCCTCCTCTCTCTCAGCCATTAAGTACGACCATGTTCCTGCTTTCAAAGTAGAATAATTTATTGGTTTGCTTATATAATATGAACTTCTTTGACGCACAATGCCACGTGAGAGAGCAGAGCATGTTGACGAAGAGTTCATTTGAGGGAGAGAGTGAAAGTGGGCCCTGTGCTCAGACTCTGCACAGTCTCATGCTTCTGTCACCGCTCAAATAGGATCTGACAGAGAGAGAGAGATACAGCGAGCAGGGAAATGAAGGAGTGTGCTAAGTGACTCGCTAATTAAAATCTTAATGCACTGATTTAAAATCTTGAACGAAGACGTGGTGGAGCGCTGCAAAAAATAGCGGCTGATTTATTCTTGTATACGGTGTCTTTTTTAAAAGAAATGCTCAATCCGGCGCAGATCAAGTCAGTCTATACATTATTTTGTCATAACTAAAAGCTTAATCTTTCAAGGGGGAGTTGGAAAATGGCACACTACACTAAGGGTAAACATGGTAAACATTGTACCTCTTAAACATCAGCATGTTAGCATATGTTAGCATTACTCAAAACACCATTACAGCCTCAGAGCTGCTCGCGTGGGTCTGCTTTTACTTAATTGACTAATTTATGTCTATCCTTACTTTTTCTCATACTTATTGTCTATGCATTTGTGGAGATTAGAGATGAATCGAACAATTAATTGATCAGTAGTCAAACTAAAATTTAATCTGCAACATTTATGATATGTGGTTAAAAGTGAGATTTCTTGCTTTTCTCTTTGTTACACTTTAATTTTAATCTCCCCGGGTTTTCACGGGAGTGTTGGTCAGACAAAACAAGAAATTGCCGTGGACTTTTGTATTCATTTGAAACAAAAAGTAAATAAAGGTAAGATGCAGCCCCTGCGTGGTGTTAGCTTTTTCAAAAGCTGGCAATGGAAACTGCAAGGTTTCAAGGCTAAATTCAACATTAAAACGAACCGTGGAGATTCATATTTTTTGCAGTGGGAAAGATGGGAGTGTGTGATGACGAGGGAGAGGCAGATCAAAGAGAGAACGGAGAGAGGCTGCTGAGGCGGAGAGACGCTTTGGGGTGGATGGACGAGATGGATGCTGAAAATAAGAGAAGGGATGAAAAAATAAAAAAGCAGAGACACCAGAGAGATAGAAACAAGGGAGGAATGGAAAGAGGTAGAGAGAAATAAGTGGAGAGAAGGAGAAGGGTGGCAGAAGTAAAGAGAGAGTAGAAAATACCCACCGTCAGGGTAATGTGTGTGGGTGTTGTTCTGCATGTGTATAAGCCTGCAGCTTATCTTGCCCTACTTTTTGCCCAACAAAGTGGAGAGAAGAGCAGACAAATGTTCATACGTACGCTCTCTGAAATGTGCTTCTTCACGCTCCCTCCCAGCTAAACGAAACATTGTCTAAGCCACCAAGCACTCGCCATTTCATCTGTTTCTTTCTCTCTTTCTATACTCGGTCCATCCTGATCCCTCGTCTCCTTTCTCTCCCTCCTTCCCCTTTGTTTGTTTATGGGATGTCAGCTCAGATAAAAACACTTTGTTTGACTAGCCCTAATTTGCAGTTCCGGCATGGCACGTGTGGATTATTCATGTGTTTAACATGCCATTGTTTCTGCAAGGCTTGGCATTAGCTCATTGAGGGCGTGCGTGTGTGTGTGTGTGTGTGTGAGTGTGTGCGTGTGCGTGCGTGTGTGTGTGTGTGTGAGTGTGTGCGTGTGTGTGTGTGTGTGTGTGTGTGTCTGGACCTACATGTTAGATTGAGTGTGTGCTCGATTTTTCTTTCTTATGGGAAATCATCAAACACATGGATGCAGGATGAAAAGACAGATGAGTGAATGAAGGGGAGGGGCGGCGTATAAAGTGGGATAACTCACTGGTTGCGGAGGTTCCAGCAGAGATCGCGTTCTGTAAGGGGAAGCAGGGAGTGGTGTGAGATTCCCAGGGCTATCCGGTAGACGTAGGTCCGGGACCGGGCACGGAAACGGGCGTGAAAATCATCAGGCACATGGTGGGCACGCGTGATCCTGGCAGAGTCACAAAAGAGCAGTCAGAGGGAAAGATGACGTCCATTCAGGCTAGAAAAGCTGGAAATTTGAGCTCTACTTTATGTCTGACATTCTGAATATGCAGTCATTTCTTCTAAAACCACAGAAAATAATACTAAACATTTGAATTCTGTTGGATGTTTAGACAATTATTAAACAACCAGACATCACTGTTTCATTCCTCCCTCAGACTGAAACGGTCCTCAGACCCAGATGGTGTTAATACTTTCATTTTGTACTGCCAGAGAGAAAAACTGTGCACAAGTCAGTGTCCAAAATGCCAGCGTTGCAGCTTTTTACACAAAAGCACACCCGTTGTCAGAGTCCTAAAAGGGCAGCCAAGAACCTTCAAGAGCCAAGCGCTTATGCTCACAAAGATAGCATCACAACAGACTCAGAAGCTGGAGCTCTTTGATACGACTCCAGCAGGGGCACGGCTAACACGGAGAAACACACGGGCAGAGATAGATCACGTTATAACTTTAAGTCAGTCAGACAAAACCCTCTTTTATGATTAAGTCAAACAGTGTGGATCAATTTATGAGTTTATGCAACATCAACAAGGAGACCAGAGAACGTAACTGGCATTTCTGATCCGAGTTCTGCACATGAAATTGAATCCACTTGCTGAAACAATGAACCACATCGTGTTGTTTGTAAATTTGTAAAGAAGAAAAATACGAATATATTTGGCTGTGTTGTTAACTTTTCAAACTGTCCAAGCTCTTGTGATAACTGAGTACAATCAACATACTGGCAGCTTTTATGGAAATCTTTTATTCCTAATAAATTAAATGGCATATGGCAAATCTTCCCTTTTACTGCACAACAAGTCACTGTTTTCAGAGTTGCAGCATTTTCTTTTTAAATGATCCAAATTAGAACTGGGCAACATAACACAAAAGCATTGTCTTTTACTGGCTGGTTTCGTTATCATTCTTCATGTGTTCATGGCTGATAAAGTAACACTCCACACTATGTTTGTACAGTAATAATACAGTGACGAGTGGGGAATCTTTAATACTTACATCTGTAGACTGAAAGAACAAAGAGCTGCAGCCAGTGATTGTGACCACACTAGCACACTTGTGTTTATCCATACATGAGTATGCATTCATGCATGCGTGCGTGTGTGTGTGTGTGTGTTGGAGAAGGCGGGAGTTGACTAGGGGTTGAGACGTGTTAGCATGTGCATGCATGGAACTATATGAACAATGTTCCAATACACACATCCCATGTATGTGCACACGCGTCTCTTTCTAGTACACAGCAGTGCATGTACAGTCTAGTATATGTTTGTGTGTGTGTGTGTGTGTGTGTGTGTGTGTGTGTGTGTGTGTGTGT